CTGTATCAAAACAAAGGCACCATATCTGCGACTATTTTAGCAATTAAATCATTTTGGGAATGTGTAAAAATGACAAATACTTAAAAGAATAGACTTTTTATACATAACAATAAAAATAATTTAGTGTGAATGAGGAAATATTAGTAACAATTTTGAAATTTGATTTTGCAGAGGGTGTGCAATATAGAGAAAAATATTTCTGGAATGGCAATAAATTGGATAAACGAAGAAGTTATTTGGTCAAATCAACAGGAAGGAATCATTACAGTAACAGATATGAAAGGAAATAACTCCCATGTTCTTTTAAGTGCCTTAAAATATCCTGCAAATATAGCGATTGATCCAGTAGCAAGGTAAATTCCGCTGCATTCGGACATCGAAATGTATTTCAAAATCTAGTGAAGACTCACAGAATCGTTACATTTTGAACTCAAAAGGACCTTCTCACTAAGACGAAGGCCCTCTTTCCCAGCACACAGATCCCATTTCCAATAGGACAGTTGCCTGGATTCGAGCAGAGCCGGGCTCCCTCCACAAACGCTCCCAACCACCCTGGTTTTTCTGCCATAGAAGCATAATTCTCCCTCTAACTTGACATCACATGTAATTTCCATCATGGGGCAGTGCATACTGGTTGAACTGAATTTTCATTGAAAATAGTCCAACTTGTCCCGGGCAGGCGCTCGGGGCTGCTGACACACTGGGAGAGTGGCCGTCGGAGCGACTATATGTTCAGTCACAGATCCACGTAACGTGTTTGCTCTCAGGTTGCTATTCTGGTCTTCGGAGCGGGCCGGCAGCCTTCACAGAGCAGATCTCCGCGGTGTGGACGTGAAGACTCTGTTGGAGACGTCACAGACGATAACGGCCATGTCACTAGATGTGCTCGCCAAGCGGCTCTTTTGGGTTCAGCACGGCAGAGAAGGAAGCGATTCTCGTATCTGTTCCTGTGATTACGACGGAGGTTCTGTCCGTCTCAGCAAATACCAAACACAGTAAGTTTTGCTTTTGGTGTAAGATAAAACAATTCTCATTTGAAGTTTGTGAGATAAATTAACTTTACCTTTGTCACCTAAGCTAGTGCGGTGGGTCAGCACGTAGATTTTAGAGTCCAAAAGACTCGAGTCCAAGCGCCAGATTTACCATTTATTAGTGGAGTGACTGCAGGGAGGTTATGTGACTTCTCTGACCCTCAGTTTCCTTTAATGTGAAGCTTATCACAGTAGCTGTGTCTTGGGATCGCTGTGAAGACAAAGTACCTAAATGCAAACAAAAATAATCAACAGGGTATTTGGCATGTAATAAGTTCTCACACGTTGGCCAGAGTTATCCTTTTTGGAGTTATTATGTCAAATGTTTTGTGACGCACCTGCCTTGTTGGATTTGCTGTCACGCCAGCAGCCGACTGCCCAGCTTGTGGCAAGAGCAGAAATGGGTCAAGTGTGAAATTGGCGTAACTAGAAACCCACTCTTACCCTGTTTTTATTTTCTCCTCCATTTTCATCACACTTATATGACGACTAAGAGAATAGTGAGACAATGGTCTGGAGCTAGAAATTATATCCTATTAGTTCAGATTCTGATGACGCAAATAAAATTATAAACTTAATGTACTTTTCTAACCCTAAGTGAGAAACAATGGAAAGGACAGGTGATTAAAATTCGAACAATAAATTGAAATGAAGTGATGTTTTAATAAGCCAAGGAACAAATGTCCTGCCATTTCTCCCCCCCACCCCCACCCCCCGGTGGTTTCTCAGGCACAATGTGTTCGCAATGTCCCTTTTTGGTGACCGCGTCTTCTATTCAACACGGAAGACGAAGACAATTTGGATAGCCGACAGACGCACCGGGAAGGATATGGTCAGAATTAGCCTCGATCCGTCATTTGTACCACCCGGTGAACTTAAAGTAGTGCATCCGCTCATACGGCCCACGGCCCAGGACGGAGCTCAGGAGTCTGGTGAGTCACCTTTGACCTCCCGCGGGCCCGGCACAGACTCCCCGTCCATATCCTTGCTCCAGTCAGACACTGACGGTCTGCAGGGGGAAAAGTAATTTTTCCTTCAATCCTCATAAGTTCTTATTTGGAATGAACCCCTGTAACGAAAGACAGATAAACAAGAGAAAAACAATTTGAAATTTATTACCATGCACACTTCATAGATACATGGGCGACACCTAGGAAATGAGCAGCTCTCAAAGAGGTGGCTTTAAATTCCAGCTTATATGGCATCCTCAACAAAGAACGGTAGAGTTTTAGAGAAGGGATGAGACAAAGGAAGAGGACTTGGATTTTTACTGGTAGCAACTTGGGGGAAGGCAAATCAATAGCTGATAAAGGCCAGTTAATAAAGCTTATTAGTGTAGAGACCTCTGGTGCCATCGCCAGGCCATAAGGGTCTAAAATTGTCTTCAGCGGTGAACTTTTGTTCTCCCTGGTAGAGAGGGGAGCCTGGATACTTTTGCTCTTTGTAAACCTGTGTCCTGCTTTTAGGCAGTTAGAGGAAGGGCAGAGAGCTTTCCTGCATCTGCTGCTTCTGAATCGTCCAGCTCAACAACCTTCATATTTAGAGGGGCACATTCCGGCCTCCTACAAGGTCATCCTTAATTTCTCTCCAGAGAATTTCCCCAATCATATGGCACCTGCTATGCTCTGCCATAATTGTCTGTCTTCGTAAATCCCTTAGTCCCGGCAGGACAGGGTGTACACCTCTCCATTGTCTTCCCAACGCCTAGAGGACTTTCACGAACAGGACTTGGAAGAACAAATGAAAAAAAAAAATCCTTTGGGCCGGGCAGGGTGGCTCACACCTGCAATCCCAGCACTCTGGGAGGCCGAGGTGGGCGGATCGTTTGAGCTCAGGAGTTCGAGACCAGCCTGAGCAAGAGCGAGACCCCGTCTCTAGTAAAAATAGAAAGAAATTAGCTGGACAACTAAAAATATATAGAAAAAATTAGCCAGGCATGGTGGCACATGCTTGTAATCCCAGCTACCCGGGAGGCTGAGGCAGGAGGATCGCTTGAGCCCCAGGAGTTGGAGGTTGCTGTGAGCTAGGATGATGCCACAGCACCCTAGCCCGGGCGACAGAGTGAGACTCTGTCTCCAAAAAAAAAAAAAAAAACTCACTGAAAAAATAAAAAGAATAAAAAATCCTTTGGCACTGTCTCCCCTAAATAATATAATAAACAAGTTTTAAAGATATATACGATCTAAATACATGTTGCCTTCCTGACTAATACAAGTCCCATATTTATTGAGTGTGTACAAAATTATATGCTCCGCGCTTTCCCTCCGTTATCTCACTTAATCTCCACGACAACCCTATGAATTAGGTGTGATAATGAGTATCATTTTATAGATTAAAAATCTGAGGTTCGGAGATGTCACAATAGCTTGTTCAAGGTCAGTCACTGCGGTGGAACTGGGATTTGAACCCAGGTAAACTGATAGCATGCTGCCTCCCCAACTAGACTCTCACCGTTAGCTCTCATTTTATACGTTAGATTTGCCTGGTTTGTGTCGGGAAAACCTGTAAGTCAGCGAATCATTGTCTATCTATGGCCCCCTGGTGGGTAAATGCTTCATTCTGCACAGATCGTGGGGCCAAACCGTATTTCTTTCTCTCTCTTTTTTTATTTATTTTTTCAATTTCAGAAACTCAGAAAATCTTTTTTCTCTCACTTTCTCAATGACATAGCATTGCTCTCCCATTTTTGTTGGCAGGATTAAACGTACTAGCTAGCTCTCCTGGCCGCCTTGACGTCTATACTATTCTGTGACTCTCAGAGCCAGTGTGGGAACTTCTTTGCACACAGTGTTAATGAGAATATCTCAGGCTCAACTTCTGGAGATTTTGCAACTAGTTGACGGCTCACAGATATTACTTTGTAAAAAGTCCGAACATTTTTGCTTTTTTTCTGTATTCTTTAAATGTAGATTCCAGTTTTAAACTCATAAGAGAGTTTCAAAAGCATGTTCCTTGGGAAATGAAGGGTATCTCTGACCAACACTGTGTAAAATGCATTGATTGTATGCATAAAAAATATTGCTGAATTTAATTCTCTGAGTTCATGAAGGGTAATTGCCTCCACCTGGAAATATGCTTGCTTCTGGAAGCAATTAGTGTAGCTACAACTGCCAAGGTGGGATTCTGATTCATTTTGATTATTTCATTGCTGGAGTGTCTGCTGTAAAACCTTGGTTATTTGGAAACCTCTGGAAAAGAATCATCCTAGAAAGATCAATATTTTTCGTATAATTTTGGATTGTACGTTTAAACACACGAAGCTCTGTTATTTTTCATAGAAATCTCAGTAAGATAGGGATTGCTGTATTTCCCTAACATCATTCACGGTTACTGATGTTTTCTTAGCGACCAGAGTCACATTTACAGCGATGCACGCCACAGGACAAGCGTAGGAGTGGTCTGGGGCAAAGCTGGGTTTATAGCATAGGTTTGCCCTGACACCAAATGGCTGCCATTTGCAATGCCTTCTAAACACCTGGGATTGCTCTTTCTTGTTCTTACGTCTTCTTTCTCGCTACGACTCTCACATCTTGCTGATCTCCATGTGCATGGCTGTGGCCTCTGTTTATTTTCCAATCTGAGTCTTTTTCTTGCCATCTGTTTGTTCAGGAAACCAGATCATGAGTCCTGTAAAATTTTCCGCTTTCTGGATTCCCATGGTGTCATTTAACATGTTTCTCTGCCCTCTGTATTTCCTACAAACTGGTGGTTTAGGCCTCGAGGCCTGATCGGAGTCAGATTTTTTGCAAGAACGCTGTGTGGGTAGCACGGCAGGTGGTCCCCTGAGCTGCTGTTGTGGCACATGAGGAGGTGCAGACGGGCAGGTTCTCGTTCTTTTTGTGATTCTCAGGATTAATCAGCGGTTCCGGGGGCACCAGCCTAGCCCCTCCACTGTAAAGTTTCCCATCGGCCTGTTGAACAATAATTTGAGAAGCTATTGATTATCATTGCCCAGAGCCATGTTTTTGTTAGAGGTTCAAAGTGATGACTTCTAATTCTTTCGTTGCTTGTGCACTTATTAGCTGGAATTCTTACATAAAGAACCTTTCCACATCAGATGTATGATTTCCCTGAGGAGGAGCTTTTCTAGAAAAGGTAAATCCAATGCTTGATCCTATCCCCTCATTTACCTGTTTTCAGAATAAAGAGTTAGTGTCTCAGTGTCCTCCAAAGATGACTTTTTTTTTTTAAAGAGCATCTTTATAAACTCATGGATTTTAAAAAATAGTTGACATGTTTTTATTCACTGTAGTTATGATCCTTTTGATACTCAAATTTACCATCTTTCCCAGGAGAAGCCCTGGTCCGAGGCCCCCGGTCCGTGGGGGAGGATGGCCGCAGGCGCTGGGCTGCGTCTCCCAGCCGTTGACAGCGACGGTCTAGGATGTGAGTGTGAGGCTCTGTCTGGGCTCAGCAAACAGGAACACTGAATCATTTAGTCACTTCTACCACCAGGGAACGCAGGTGGGGGCGGTGGTGACATGGGAGTGGAGAACACACATCCGGTATTTTCCGTCTTCGCGCTATGGGCCGGCCGAACTGCCAGAGCAGGAATAAACGAAACAAGACCGAGTGGGCCTGAGGGGCTCTTCTGAGAGTAAAAAGCATTTCTTTTTTTAACCGCTTAGAGGCTGTTGGTTTGTTTACTTTCTGATTTTTGAAGGAGTTCAGATGGGTGAGGATACCAAGTAGCTGAGTTCTGCCCCGGTGATTTCTTTTTATGACGATCAGCAATCCAATAGCACAAAATGGCTGCGATTGCACCTTCTTCTTTGTATGGAGAAGAAGAAATCTCCGTACTGTACAGTTTGAGAAGTTGTTTGAGCCAGTGGAGGCAGTCATTTTTTGAGAACTTACTAATGGGAAAGACAATAAACAAAGGAAACAAAAATATAAGTGTGGGTCCTTATAGAATTTTCACAAAGCCCACTATTATATTTTATATATTTATATATATACACAAAGTAGTTATATGTACATGCACATAAGTGTACAAACACACAGAGCTTTATGTATGTGCTAGAGAGGGAGGGTCTACAATCAGAAGGCGTGGGGAGGAGTGGCAATTCTACTCGTAGTTTTATCATTCCCTATGCGACCTCGACAAGACAGTATTTCCTCATCTGTAAAAGTGGAAGGTGACACTTTGCATAGCTCAGGGCTTGTTATGAAAGCGAAATATGATAATGTGCAGGCTTTATAAAGTGCTATTCTGTTTTTTTATTATGCGTGAGATAGTGCGGATGCTGCATATTTAGTTACAAGAATGATTCCAGTGAATGGGTTTGAATGGAAGAGACCAGAAGGGCTTTGTCGACGAGGTGAGTCTTCCAGAGAACTCGAGGCAGAGGAAGAAGATGAGCTCAGGGGAGAAAAGCGGGAGAGGGAATCCCACGTGCACCGTCTCAGAACCGGGCCGGGGTGAATCAGACTCACCTGGCCGCGGTAAAGCTCACGAGCGCCTGTGTGTCGCTCAGGCAGTTAGCGAAGGCGCAGCAGGTGGACACCCAGCTCCACGAGCAGGAGCTTTAATTGATCTCAAAGGTAATTAAGCCCCACTGCTCAGCTCCGAGGTCGGCGGCCCCAGTCTGAGCGTGAGCTCCGGCCTATTTCGAAGCTAAAGAACAGCAGAAGATTAAGGAGATTAAACAAAACTATAACCCTCAATCCTCTGTGTTTTGCCATTTCCTAAAATGACCTTTTTAAAAGTGTTTAGTGTCTGGATTCAGGTCACATCATCAGCACAACCAAGCAGAGAATCACGATTACTTTCCTGTCCATGCTCAGTCTTGGAGGGCAATGTATATTATTAATAAGTTCCATTAAAGCCATCAGTGGCACGGTATAGTGGAAGGAGCACTAGGCTGGCATGTGACAATCCGTTTGAGTTCTAACTCTCAGGTCTACTGGAAGTTCGAGGAAAAAACAAGGGAGTTAGGTTGCAGGGGACGTGAGTTTCTGTGCGTGCATTCCAGGTGTTTGCTTTTGTGTGATTGTCCACGCACCGCAGCAGGTGCTACTGGGCCTGTAAATGTGGACAGGGTACACGCCTCACCCTCAGCGCATCAGTTCACGGAGAAAGGATGCATGTACATAAATGTGACGGTGACGATAATGACAAGAACGCACATACGTCCAGGTGGGAGGCAGCAGAAAGGTACGGGGGGAGAAGAGAAATAGTGGTGCATCTCGTTTTCTTCATTAGTTTGATCCTGTTACCATAGTATAAGCGGTCATGAAGCTTTGAGCTTTTTTATGTCTTCAACAGATATTTCATTTTCAGAATTTCTGTGCTTTTGATGACAGAATGAAAAAGCTCCTAAGTAGGGTTCAGTATTTGCAACCCAAGGAATGACAGCTAATTAAGCTCCAGCTAATTAAGAGGCCCCGTCCTGAGAGGTGCTGCAGAAGTAACATAGAGCAATAAACAGCCCGGAATGCGGGGAAGGCGGCTGGGGGGGCGACTCGGGAGCAGCTGCCACCTCGGTGCAGGAGCCAGCCCTGCTGACGTCGTCGCAGGGAGATAAAACTTCTTAAGAACCAGGAAGGGACCCAGCATTGTCCTCCGTCCAAACGCATCTCCACTGCAAATAAACCACCTTCTCTTTAGAGCAGAAACTTTGCAAACGGAGGGAAGGAAACTGCCCCGGCGGCGCGTGCCCGGGAGACCCCCAGGCTCAGCAGTGCGCGTGCGCGGAGGGATACGCCGCGAGCCCGGACGGGCTGTCCTGCGAAGGTAACGCCGCTGCTGCGGCCGGGGCGCTGTGGGACCGGCGGCTCGTCTTCGGTGGGCCACCCTGAGCCTCAGTGGGAAACCAACTTCAAATCCACCCACTCCTCCCCCCATCCGCCTCCCAGAAAAGCATTTTAATTTTTTTCTTCTGTTTTGAAGGCCTTTATTGATAGTTTCAGGTCGTTATATCTTGTGTTTCTAGATCAAACACTCTCAGAGGTTGCTCAGGGATTGCTCTAAGGCCGGGATTCCCTGAATGGACTATATGGACCTGTGTGCATTTGCGCGCAAAATTTCAGTATATGCAATTTTTTTTAAGGCAGTGGTTCCAGAGCTATCATAAGATTCTCAAAGAGTGTGTGACTGTAACATCTCATTTCTTGCAAGTCTGGTAGGAACCTTGGGAAGCTGTGAACCAGGCTGGTTATCTGGGGCTCCTCCTGTTTGAGGTTCTAGGCCCGGTTTCATGAACCCAGGAGGAGCACTGTGTCCTTTCTGCTGGAAGGTGCAGTGTGGTGACTCAGTGATGCAAAGAGTCCAGTGGCTGCAGCGTGCAGTCCATGGAATTAGTTGGGGTGAGACGTCGGGTAAATCCAGCATCTGCCTGTTAATTATACCCCCTGCTCACCTGGGACCAGGGCACGGACGCCTTGGCGTGGAAGCAGTGAGCTGGAAGATGGGTGCTTCAGCGGGAGGAAGGGGGCTGTTTGCATCCTCTAGTCACTCTCAAAGGGTGAAAAGCAGAGTAGGAAATGTCATCAGAGCTTTGGGGTCCCTGACTTAGACGGCATGTTATATCCTTTCGAGGGAAATAGCACCACTTTTTCTCCAAGGGTAATTCTCATACCTGTATTTGACAGTATAAGCGGGCACAGGATAGAAATGGCTTTCACGGTCATTGAACTGACTTCTCTCATCCTTTACTAGAGTTGGAGAAACAGTCTTTCCATGGTAAGTTACAGTGTATACGAGTGTAAGATACTCTCCTTTGTGCTGACCGGTTAGCGATATCCCAATTTATTAATGCTTTCAAAAGTAACCGTCTGTGTTCTTCTGTTGGCATTTGCAGATGTCAACGAATGTGCCTTTTGGAATCACGGCTGTACGCTTGGGTGTGAAAACACCCCTGGATCCTATTACTGCACGTGCCCTGTGGGATTTGTTCTGCTTCCTGATGGGAAACGATGTCATCGTAAGTCTCAGGAACAAGTATCGATTGTATTATTTTTCTTCATTTTCAATAACGTCTCTGAGGTGGCTGCGATCTGGGTTGGTGGTCCTCAGTCAGCAAGAAT